AGAGAGACAGATAGATGGATAAAATAAACTTTATTTAAAAATGTAGCACAAGTCATTAAAAAAGGTGACTGGCAAAAGAAATAGAGCAAACTGGTTCTCAACATGTAGTGTGCTTTTTTTCATTGTTTAGTAAGGATATTAATTTTGGCATGGAAGACATTTAATTCAGACAGAACACATTCAAAAACAAGCCCTGGGGCTGGGGTCCTTTAAGAAAAGGAAACAGTAAGCTCTAAAACCATCCACTTAGAGGGAGAGGAGAGCCCACCAGCCCAGCTGCCGGCAAGTCAATCCCAACTCACAGTGGTCTCACGCGTGTCAGAGCAGAACCCTACAGGGGTGTTCAATGGTGGCCTTTCTGGAAGGAGACCGCCAGGCCCTCCTTCCAAGGCACCTCAGTGAACTCAAGCCTCCTCCATCCAGTTAGCAGCTGAGTGTGCTAACCATCTGCATCACCCAGGGACTCAGTGTCAACGCTACACACGTTAGAGTAAGTCCCTGCTCCTCCCTGCCTGTCACAGACAACTGCTATTTCCCTAAACCCAACTGTAATGAAAATATTCCCCAGCCGGCACCCTTGCTGCTTATAACTAAGTAGAAAGTGCTGCCTTTGCCATGCTTTCAGAGTAAATCTGAAGGCCTTCACAGAACATGTTTCTAGAACCTGGCCATCTCTGAGGGGAATGAAACAGCAAGAAGTTGATTTCCTACATTAATATGGCTTGTTAAGTGTTAGTGGGATTTACGCTCATTGGTCTTCAAACCCAAATGACTGCATGCAATTCAGTCTACTTCATACTGCAGGACCAGGTCCTTTGTCATACGAAGATGTCCATGCCACAGTCTTCATAGACTGACTTCCTGTCAAAATCCCCGTTCAAAAGAATGACTAAATATATTCTTACAAACGTACAGCTGTTACCATAAAGACTAAAATAACATTAAAAAAAGTCTTAAAATAGAAGCAAACAATGACTTCTGAAAATGCCTTATTAAGTTTTAAAATAACTGTGTGCATAACCGGCACATGACTCAGACTTCAGCTACGTGAAAAGAAACGGGCTGATCTCTTGTTTTGTGGGGCAACCTGTTCTCAGGATCTGTGCAGTGGGAACACTGGATAGATCCCTGTGGGATTTCAGGATGAAACCTAGGAAAAAGGAGAGCGCACCTCACCTCACAGGGGATGGTGTTACAGAAAGGTCCCAGGCCCCTTTCAGCAGAGTCTCCTCCGAAGTGGTCAGAAGGGGTGTTAGATGGGACCTGACAGTGCGTTAAATACTGCTGACCCCACACATTCAGAACGTCTCCTTCAATTCCTTTCCAAACCCAATTAAATCCAGGTGCCACAGTCTGGTGTTACCAAGGTGGAGGCTTCCCGCCGGCGTTCTGAGCTCCCTTTCCGACAGAGCAGGCATCTGTACTACTTTGCTTTTACTGACTAGCTTTTTATTGACTTAAAAGAGTATTGGTTTCTGACATAAAATAGGATCAATGTTTCCTTTAAAATAAATGTACGTAAGTAAAAAAGCAAGTAGACTTACAGGAAAATAAGAAGTGTGTCACAACACACATGGTACGTAGGCCACAGGACAACCTGGAAACAGCTTCATGAAATAACCCACCAAGCTCCTTCACTGTTTTACCTCCTGCTGCTCCACGTGTGGCCTGGTTCCCAGACAGGTGCTCTACTTCTTGCTTTGGTTTTCCACAAATGCCTACCACATACTCCAGCGGGTGCTGCCCAGCCCTTTACCCCCACCTCCACCCTCTCCCCAACTAAGAGGAGTCTATAAATATTAGGGGCTTGATATACATTTTGAGAATTCATTTAACATGTAAGTATTTTCTGAGTTTAACTTGTAACAATTTCAAACTGTGATTTAGGGAAGACTCTAAAGCTGGCTCTGCAAACTGTACACTCTGTCTTTTGCCCCCAGGAGCTGCATCAGAGCAGCCACCCACTGCCACTGAGTCGATTTGGACTCACAGTGACCCTATAGGACTGAGTACAACTTCCCCATAGGGTTTCCAAGGCGCAAATCTTTATGGAAGCAGATTGCCTCATCTTTCTCCCAGCGCAGTGGCTGGTCGGTTCAAATCACTGACCTTTTGGTTGGCAGCCAAATGCCTTACTTACTGGGCCACCACTGCTCCCACATCAGTGCAGGAGGGTCACAAATATGATATATTTTAACCATAATTCTTTACTCTTTGAAATGGACCTTAGTAGCAACTCCCATTTCTCCCTTTACAAAGTCAGCTTTGTGATAATTTTGGTTAATCTAATCAATATGCAGACTCAAGTTGCAGCTGAAATTCCAGTTTCGATACAAGATGACGCGGGTACCCTAATAACCAGTATGTAAACACAGGCTACGTGCATCAGCCAAGGTGCACTGGACACCAAAGTCCGGTGCAGAAAATAGTACCCTGCGGGGCCAGATGGATGGATGCCAGGACACAACTCAGCCCCTTTCTCCTAGCTCTGTGATGGTGGATACATCCCAACCTCTCTGAGCCTAAGCGTCTTCCTCTGTAACCAGGAGATAATACCTGGTTGTCATGAGGATAACATGAGCTGAAACAGGTCAAGGCCTCTGTAAACTACAGGGCTGGACAAATATGCTTTATGATCCTCTGTATCAGAACGGGACCGAGGGCAACAAACACTGTTTAATGTTTAATGCCAGTGAGACTCCTGCCACTGGGTCGGCTCTGACGCATAGCGACCCCACGTCCAACAGAACAAAATGCTGCCCAGTCTGCACCAGCCTCATGGTCGTTGCTACGCTGGAGGCCATCACTGCAGCCACTGTGTCACTCCATCTCACTGAGGGTCCCCCTCTTTCCCGCTGACCCTCCACCTTATCAAGCATGATATCCGTTAGAGTTGTTGTTGTTGTTATGTGCCGTCGAGTCAAACCTGACTCACAGCGACCCCTCCTTGGGTTTCTGAGGCAGTATCACTACAGAAGTAGGATTGCCAAATCTTCCTTCCGAGGAGTGGATCGTGGGTTTGAACCTCCAGCCGTCTGGTTAGCAGGCAAATGTCTTAGCCACTATGCTACCAGAGCTCCCATCCGTTAGAGTAGGATTATAAAAATGCAAATAAATAACAATAAACTTTGCCATAGAGGGCTCCCAGGTTCACATGAAATCGTGTGAGATTTATGCTTTTTGCAAAAGCTCAGGTGTAAAGGTAACAACTAAAACCTAATATAATGTTAAAAAAAAAGTCCATGGGACAATAAAAACAACTGCACTGACAGTCATATCAAGATAAGAAAGCCAGCATTACCCTCAGTGCTACTGAAATTAAGAAAACAATTAGAAATGGTGAGTGCATTGAAAATGAACAGCTGGGCAAACCTACCTTCCAATTTGCCAGTTTTTTAAACTCTATAATCTTTATAACTGCTCCCATGAGAATACCTAGGAGAAAAAAAGTAAAGTTTAACATAAATTTAAAATATGAGAAAGATGACTCAGTTTATTATTCCAGAGAAACCGAGTATGATTCATTATGTCTCTGAATGGCTTTTATGGAGTCTATAAGTTTTATGTCTGCAAACATAAAGAATGGAAATTAGTGTGAAGTTTTATGAGTCACATGGTCCCTCCCCTCATCCCAGGAAAACACACTACAGCCAGGACTACAAAAGTCTGGAGGGGAGAAAAACCATACAAAGCAATACCCTTGTCTGCCTGGCACGGGAGACAGAACATTTGTCATTGTCACTACAGTCACCCATTTTCAAGGTTAAATGGAAGACAGCTTAAAAGCTAGGTGTGTCCTGCACTCCTATTCCTTACTTTCAGAAATGAAACCAAGGAGCACTTTTTCAAACTCAAATGGCAGTTCTATGAAGAATATTTACTTAAGAGATACAACCCAACTGCTGAAAACAACCAAAAGTGAAAAAATTCTGTGAGATTTTTGGAACAAACAGACCACCTAAGTCAAGGCATGTTTCCATAAAGCTGATAGGTTCATTACGTGCTCGTAAATTACCTACTAAAAATAGTTCTCCAAGAAGCACCATGGGTACAACCTATGACTGCTCTGGTCCTCACCAGCTACATGGTTTCTGACTCTGCTGGGGCATCAGAATCACCATGGGGCCTTTTTATAAAGCTGCTCAAGCAGCACTGCAGACCTGCTACATCACAGCACCTGGTAGGAGGTGAGACACAGCAAGCCGGAAGACCACCTCCACAGACGCTTCGAGACAGGCCCTCCCTTCCCCTACCGAGGGAGGAGGTTTCCTTTTCTCCATCGACACAGGGCTGAAGAAACGCACCTTGCTGGGTAGGGTGGAGAGGCGACCACCAGGACACGGAAGTGTATTAGGAAAAGGGCCCACACCAGCACTAGTTGCTGTGTGAGTCTGGGGCAACAGGGGATGGCTGAGGTGAAAAGAGAAGATAAATAATTTTTACTGTACAAATCTCTGTACTTCCTGAATTGCTATATATTAGTCAGGGAATAATGAATTTTTTTGAAAATAAGGGACCGAGATATAATACATACCAAGAAGAAGCTGTCCATTCACACCTTGGCATGAAGGCTAACGTGGGCTCCTCGGCACTGGGGCTCCCCCAGCTCTTTTTTTCTTACCTTTTCAAATTGGATATGATGTTTGAAGGAGTTTTTTAAAAAAATAGTTTTTAACCAAACAGTTGATGAATACTTTGTAATAAAATGTTATGGATAAACCAAAAGTTCCTTTTGATCACACCCCACCCTCTTCCTCCATATTGGCTCCTCTCTCTTCTTGCCCAAGGTAGCCAACCATCTTGGTTAAGTTTGGGAATATTCTATACTTTAAAATGGTGACATATATGGTATGTGAATTATCTTTTTTTTTTTAAAGTCCCAATTTTCTAGCCATTCCCCCTCTGATAGATATCTCCGGCCAGTGGTGTGAAAAACATGTCTGCTAACCAGAAGGCTGGCAGTTCAAACCCACCAGCCACTCCTTGGAAGGAAGACTGGGCAATCTACTTCGACAGAGATACAGCCTCGGAAACCCAAGGAGGGGTCGCTATGAGTCGGAACAGACTCGATGGCAGTGAGTGAGTGAACACTCTGGCTTTTTTTTAATTTTATTTGGATTTGGGTGAAGATTTACAGAGTAAATTCACTTTTCATACAGCAGTTCACATATACTTTGTCTCATGTCATTGACCAAAATTT